ACGTTTCGCTTGAAGTTGTAAGCACACTTCTTACCGTTAAGACATTCTTTGCGCTGCCATTGGTGTGACGATAACTTAGGAATGAAATAGAAATGTCAGCATTTTATACAGTAATTGTTTATAACCTGTTATGTAACGTATGAAACCAAATTATCAATAGACCACAGTAATCCAAGTGTAGACGGCGGATGCTGTTGACCAGCTGCCTTTTCTCGAGCCCACCTGTCTGCTACCATCCTTCCAACTACACCTTCAACAAGAGATTTTCGAACACCCTTCGTTCGAATTAATGATTACATTCTAGCTAATATACTGAAAAGTGCAATGACCACACAAAATCCAATTAAATTATTGAAAATTCCTAACACATCAACTTTAACAACCCAAGTTATTATTATTATTATTTTTTTTGCCTAGCCAACCTGTTAAGCAAGAAAAGGTTATTTACAGGGGCTGGTTATAATGATGGTGAGAACTTACTCCTCCACGTATGCTATGTTTGAGGTAAATCTGGTCTTTACTGTATGACTTCTGAGAAACACAAGCACAACCGCCAAGTTATCCTTCTAACTTGTTCTAAAATACTTGTATTAAAGGTGTAGCGATAAAGTGTTACGATTTACGTATCTTCACGAAACTTGGCCAGCTTTCAGTAAACATTATAAGTCTTTTGTACATAATTTCTAACAAAGAAAGATGAGTACTACATGTTGTCTTCGTTTATTTTATCAAAAACGTTACATGTAAAGTAACATAATAAATTTACAACAACAAAACAGATAAACAAATATTAACTTTTTTACTTTACTTCTCTTGTCAGCTGCAATTTAGTTGATCAAACCTGAGAATTTGAAAAATCACTGTTTGAAGTACTTAAATAAGACAATGTTAGTAATATAGATAATATATTACAGATAAGACTGTCAAACTTTGTAACAAACCGTTGGTAAAACTTCTGTATCTAGATACGTATCGTGTCGACTACCATCATGAGATACACACTCATAATTAATATAATAAAATTACAAAGCTTTGTTTTTTTTCAAGAATAACAACGAACCTAATTATTAGTATATATTTCATTCGTTTTAATTATTGATTGTTTTTTTAATTTTATAAGAAACTTTTACTAGTTTAGAAACAGTGCCCTGTCTATCGCGAATAATCATACCCAGGATTTTAGCGTTATAAGTTCGTAAATGTGGCGCTGTCTCATCGGGGAACAAGAAACAGTTCGCTTTAAAAATATATATATATATATTTGATATTCAGAATCCCGACGAACCGCTTTTCACTATT